GCTCGAGGACGAGCTTTGCTATGGAATGGACATGTCGAGACGCAGACTAATTGGATGGTCCGACGGTCCCCACGAGCTGGGCGGTGCCCAGAATCTCCAGATGAGCTGGCACTCCCCGGGTGCTCGGTGGTCCCCTCCCCAATTATGCCCCCTTTTGATATATATATATATATATATATATATAACGATAAAATCATCTAGTCAAGAACTGTTCTGTTAAAGATGTAATACAACAGGGTAGAGGGATCAAGTCCCGAGATTAGCTAACTCGTTAGACTTGACAGAGAACGATATATAACTAAATTGCTGCTTGAAAACGAGACAATTTCGGAAAATTGTAAACATTACTGATCAATAAAATAGTTGTAAAACCACCTCCTTCAAGCCTAAGAAATTCAGACCGACAGCAAAAATACGGGCAGATTCTTGCCAAAAATTTCCTCGTAGCGGGCAGGCGACCCGCACTGCATACACAGGCGGCGGGAAGGCACATTGCTTGCATTCAAAGCGCACCGCGTGCGCGCACCACTGTCTGAGTACATAAGTACCATCGGCTCCCCGACTGCCGCGAGGGCGGACCCGGGCGGAACGCCCACAATCGGCCGCGGAACTGGTGAGAAAACTGAGTTGCGCCCCAGTGCAATCGATTGGAGCACGTTTTTTCTCAATTCGCGCAACGTAGTAAGCAGAGTATGATGTTTCCGATAGAACATCGTCTTTGCTTTTACTCCACATAAGATTTCCAGTAATATCTCAGTTATTGACTACAGTATACTTAAGAAGTTTCGTAACAAGTTTACAGCTCGCTGAGCTCGAGCGAATCATGACACTTTGCATTTTTGAGTTTGTGTGCTGGTGATAAAGTGGGAAGTTCTTGTGGAGCTAGCTACTTCTCTACATAACTTTTACGGGCAAAAGCACAGTCTAACGGCAAAAGGCGTGAGAGCTCTGAGAAGAGCCAGCGCTTGTACGTGAGTCAAAAAACCGCTGCAATTCGTGAACCGAGCCTGGTATATAGCTTTGAACATCCAGTCCTAGTTCAGCATCAGTCCCACAGTTGATCCGAGAAATCAAGATGGAATAGATTGCTGTAAAAATAAGGTTTCGGGAAGGTTTATCCTGCAAAATATCTATATGATGTAACTTTATAGATGTCCGCCGGGTTCAGAAAAACTTTTGAAGAATATGCTCATCGAGTACAGATTGACATCCTTGAATACAGCGAGCACCTAGCACAGAATCGAACATAAACATGTAGGAATCCAACCCGGCTTTCATATCTGAACATCTTTTCGAGAGTTATATGTGTTGGCACGTTTCCGACTTTTCTGATAGCTAGTCAGTCATTTCAAGATAAGATAGCTAACTGAGCAAGGATCCCCATCAGAACTTTTCCACACCGGAGATTCATAAATCATCAAATCTGCTGTGTGGCTAGTGCCAGCACATGCTGTTGCTCAAGACACCATAGATAGGACCCCTAGGTCAAAAAAGTTCGTCTTCTGCGTTGCAAACTGGACCCGGTCACCGTCAAACAATGGTCATGACGTTTGCAGTTGATGCTTGCCTACTACAGACTCTAAGTTCCCCCCTAATGGCAACTGCGTGCCTTAGCAACATCGAGCACGTCGGTATGCAGGCCAGTGACACCTGTAGTACTGGCGTGCTCAATTTATTTGCTCTATGCTAAGATCGCCCTTGAAGATTTCACTCCGAATTTTGAAAAAATGTGAAAAAAGTACGTTGTTAGATACACCAGTCCTATGTTATGAAATTTTGATAGTGGCAACTGCCATTGACCATAAAATGGTAATGTGTCAGATGTATGGCTTAAAAAAAACTATCTGAAAACATGATGTAAGCCTCACTACACCGACGATTCTACGACGCTGCAGCACAACCGTATTTTTTGAGGAGGAGGTGATCCATATACGACCTCATGCAACTTAAAGCAATGCCATATCAGGCGCGACGAACGCAGCAAATCTGCTTTTATGATCTCTGAAGAGTGAAAAAGACTGTTGGAGCGCATAACAGTCATAAATACAGTCGAAGCTTTAGACCATACAAAATGATCAAAACAAGCTGAAGTCGCGCTACATTGTGCACATTCCGAGGTGATTAGTTAGTCATCAACCTCATTGTGCTGTATTGTTGCCACACAACAATACAGACAATGAGGAAAGTTACTATGAAGGACTGCTACGTCTAGATACTCCAAGTGCGCGAAGGATAAGGGATCGTTTATACCGCGCACAAAGGCGGACGAAGGCGGACGAAGCCGGACAAAGGCGGACGAAGCCGGACAAAGGCGGACGAAGCCGCACAAAGGCGGACGAAGGCATGTGTGAGTGTGTGTGTGTGTGTCGAGAGAAACGAGACGAGGCGTGTGTGAGTGTGTGTATGTGTGTGTCGAGAGAAACGAGACGAGACAAGACGCGCCTTCGTCCGCCTTTGTCCGGCTTTGTCCGGCTTCGTCCGGCTTCGTTCGCCTTCGTCCGCCTTTGTGCGCGGTATGAACGATCCCTAACATCCTCCAATCGATTAGCGCTGGGGCGCAACTCAGTTTCCCCACCAGTTCCGCGGCCGATTATGGGCGTCCACCCGAGCGAGCGTATCAGCGATGCGGTTGCCCTATGTTGAAACATAGCTGATATTGATTATCGGTTGACCATCGCGACCGCCCTCGCAGCAATCGGGGATCTATGGTATGTATATCATCTCCCCAACTTTGGCGAGGCGGTCCGACGAGCGCCATTGCGTACTTCCGCGCGCGACAAAACGCTTAACCGCGGCGCAGCATTTTCGATCAGCTGATCCCGCGGCAGCGTCCATGTTGAAAAGGTAAGTATTTTTCATGTTTTGACATGTATTCTTTAGAGAAGATCTGAATCGAAAAGGTAAGTCTATTACAACTGTTTTTTGTAAAAAGCATTCATTTTTGAAAGTTTTGAGCTGTGGTGTGAGGACTGCTGCAACGCGTGCCTGCGCCGGGGCTTTTTTTTGTTTGTTTTTTCACTGTTCGAGGTTGTATGGTTTCAACGATGTTCTCGTCATGTTTGTTTCTTATTTTCGTGACTGAATGCCGTTACGGTTATCAACTGTGTTTCAGGGACTTCGTTTGCTGCAGCTGGTGGGTTCCCTTCTTCTTTCACGGTCTTTTTTCTTTCTTTGTTGTTTTTCTTTCTTCATTGGATTTCAGTCCATGTATGACACTATTTGCATGCTTGCAGCATACATGTGTCTTACCTGTTGTGCATGCGTTCGTTTTATACAATTTTAGAGTTTGCTTTTGCATGCTGCTCGTCTGGCCGTTACCATTAGCCGCCTCTGTAGCTGCCCACTGCTAGTTCTTCTTCTATGTGAGCAAGAAAACCTCCCAGTGGTGTGGCTGAAAGAGTGGCAGGAACTATGGCCACCATGAACTGAAGTATTCTCTGACATTCGTTTCGGACGAACGGCGCGAAAAATAACGATTCCTACGACCCGCGCCTGTCGAGCGTATGAGCGGCGCGACACAGTCGGATTTGAGTACGAGCGGCGCGCAATTCAGAGTGCATCAGTACGAGCGGCGTGCAATTGACAAGCAGGACCGGCCGCGTGCCTTCAAACGTACAAGCGGCGTACCATAATGTCTAGATTAGGATCAGCGGCGTTCCACAGCACCTCCCCCCCCCACTCTATACGAGCGGCGCTCAATTCGGCGTGCACGAGTACGATTGGCGCGCAGTTGTCAAGCAGTACCGGCCTCGTGCTTTCAAACGTACGAGCCGCGTACCACTAATTTAAGCTTCTGCAGCTTTTCAGGCAGGTCCACATGTTCACGGCTACCATAGTCAACGAAAGACGTTTAAGTTTGTGCGCGATCATTATTTATGCATTCGGTTGTAATTTTTTCATTTTTAAGTGCACAAAAACTATAGCGTAATTTTCACACGTTATAAGCGTAAAGGGTACTTGCGTAAGGTACGACGCAATGGTTAGGCTGCCCTCAATGCTGATTGACTTCAATGTGTTTACAATATTTACAGAAGGTTTACACAAGGACATAGTCGGAAGGTGGTCCTATAGACAGTTTTCAATAGTACCTTTGTGTTGCTTAATTTTGTAGCCGGATGTGATTTCCGAAACTGCCATATCGGTGGCGTTATACAAAATTGTCATATCAGCGATTCAAGCACGAAATTACCGTACCAGCGGCTCCGAAGTGACAGCGTACCAGCGGCGCGAAATTCGCGTATCACCCGAGCGCATTTAGCGGGCGAACGGCCATTGAGGAGTCCGCTCGTACGCAAATTTCGCGCGGCTCGTCCAAAACGAATGTCAGAGTTGCATGTCATGACTCCTGCATGCTGGAATTTCAGGGGAGATAATAAGGAATGTAACAAGACGTGAGTAGTTTTCCTCTATGCAGTTTCTACTTGTTTTTAATCGTATTGAAATAGCGGTGGGTTATCCGCAGCTAGATTGACCTTCTAATCAATATACTATCCTCATAGTACGAAGTAACCGCCGTGGTGTCTGCGATAAACGTTTCTTGAATGTTTTGATCAACCGATTATGCTCTTTTTCGATTTGCGCTGAGTAATTGGTGTTCTATGAGAGAATTGTTTCTGATAGCATGCTTCATCTAGGAAGGTGCTTACCACATCACCGAACGCTAAGCTTTTCGCCATGCAAAGAAAGAATTTTGTAAGTAATCATGATTCTTTTGCTGAGAAGGAATATGCTCAAATTTAGTCCTCTATCGCTCGCCGTTTGCTACTGGGCAACGGTAGCCTGGGCTCGGTAAATTTGGCATTTCCTTCCTCCTTGATTTTTCAAGAGCGCATTATTGCAGACAACATACCGTAGTGTTCAACAGATCCCAAAACAAAGGGTAATTTTAGATGATTTCCCCCGCGCATGGTTAACTAACGAAGTAACGATCCTGCACGTTTTGATTTTTGAACTAAAAATAACTTAAATTAACCTATCGCTGCTTGCATCAGGGCTAAACAATGTTCTTGTCAGAACCGCTGTCAGTTGCGGAGCTTCGGGATGGACTGAAGGAGAGGTACCTCTACTACCTGATGAGGGGCCTCGGATTCACATACAGGCTCAATAATGGTCTACGATACATCTTCGAGCGGCCTGAAATTCTCAACAGGAGAGCGAAGTATCTGGCTACCGTGGAGAGAGCGAGGATGAATCACCACTGCATCGTCTACATCGACGAAACGTGGGTGTTCGACTGCATGACGAGGAAGAGGGGGTGGAACGACACCACAGTGCCGTGGTTTGCTTCTGCACGATGCAGAAATTCTCATGCGGTAAGACCGTCGCTAAGAACAAGGGACGAAGGGCGATTGTGATCGGTGCCATGACAGAGGACGAGGTCATACGAACTGCACCAGGGTAATCTTCAGCGGCCAAGGTCTAACTGACGACGACTACCACGACATGAACCATGCAATGTTCGAGCAGTGGCTGCGGGATGCTATTCCGTACATGCTGCAAGTCGCGAGGGGTCGCTCTGTATCCATAGTAATGGATAATGCCCCCTACCACTCCCGTCAATTAGAGAAGGTGATACAACCTGCCTTATTCGCTTGTCTTTCCTAGAGGCAACAACTTCAGATTCCGGGGCGATCTTCTTCCAAAGCCGCGATTGAGGATTACATTCGGCGCAATGGTGTTACGGTTCCGCAGAATAGCAGCAAAGAAGACCTTGTAGCTGAGTTGAACACCGCTAGTGACTATTTCGCAGACGCTTATACCGCATCTATGCTTTTCCAGCTGCAGTTTTTCATTGGGAGCCGCGGCGGTATAGCTGCAGTACGCAGGTATGCCGTAGAGTCCATCTGCGCCGAGTTTGGAGTAGCAGTGATAAGGCTTCCCCCTTATCACTGCTTCTTCAGCTGGCTCCAGAGTTAAATAGCTGGAGCCAGCTGAAGGGGAACCTCACCAAGTTCGGGAGACCCGATGACTCCTTGTATACGGTAAGTCTGTGACTGAAAAGAAACATTTTCAATTTACTGCCTGTTATAGGTGCGGGTTAGGGCACTCGATTGGATGGAAAACGTCCCCGGAAGGTTGTGCCAAGGATGGATGAGCCACGTGATGAAGGATGAGAATGCAGCACAAGAGAAGATTGTACTGGATAGGAACAACAACATGGTATGGGAAGATGAATTATCGGACCGCCATCTCCACTCCCGATGAGTATGGGGACAGCGATCTCGATTTAGAGTTGGACAGCGATCTCGACTTGGAACAGGACAATAATGCCCAGTTGGACGATGTTAAGGAGATGTTTACTTTCTTCAACCCTGATTTCTACTCATCCTGTACGTTTCACTAATACTATTACTAACACCCATTCACCCTTATTGCTATTGTGTTGCATTCCCTTTCACTAACAATCACATGGATTTTGTGCTGAACTCAGTAGCAGGTTTAACCAGCCTTTCTTTTTGTTTCACAGACTATCCATCTGACATAATGTACATATCGCAAACAATGAACTTTCTTCTTTAATACGATTGAAAACAGGTAGAAATTGCATAGAGTAAAGCTACTCAAGTCTTGTTACATTTCTTAGGATTATCTCCCCTGAAATTCGCAGGAATCATGACATGCAATACTTCAGTTCATGGTGGCCACAGTTCCTGCCACTCTTTAAGCCACACCACTGGGAGGTTGCCTTGCTCACATAGAAGGAGAACTAGCAGTGGGCCGCTACAGAAGCGGCTAATGGTAACGGCCAGACGAGCAGCATGCAAAAGCAAACTCTAAAATTGTATAAAACGAACGCATGCACAACAGGTAAGACACATGTATGCTGCAAGCATGCAAATAATGTCATACATGGAACGAAATATTCCAATGAAGAAAGAAAAACAACAAAGAAGGGAAAAAGACCGTGAAAGAAGAAGTGGAACCCACCAGCTGCAGCAAACGAAGTCCCTGAAACACAACTGATAACCGTAACGACATTCAATCACGAAAATAAGAAACAAACATGATGAGAACATCGTTAAATCAAACATACAACCTCGAACAGTGAAAAAAACAAAAAAGCCCCGGCGCAGGCACGCGTTGCAGCAGTCCTCACACCACAGCTCAAAACTTTCAAAAATGAATGCTTTTTACAAAAAACAGTTGTAATGGACTTACCTTTTCGATTCAGATCTTTTCTGAAAAAGAATACATGTCAAAACATGAAAAATACTAACCTTTTCAACATGGGCGCTGCCGCGGACAGCTGATCGAAAATGGTGCGCCGCGGCTAAGCGTTTCGTCGCGCGCGAAAGTACGCAATGGCGCTCGTCGGACCGCCTCGCCAAAGTTGAGGGACGATATTAATCATAGTTTCTTATCAAAGTACAGGTGAGTGATTCGCCTGCCTTGTTCCACATTTGATATTCAAATCTCAGGTCTCACTGATATACTTGTTTCATGAATGTTACCGCTTAATCTCAGGACAACTTCTCCAGGTTGGTTTGAACTAAAATCCTGTCCGTAGGATGGCCACAAGAGATCGCATTGGTGAAGATGCCACAGAGTTGATAGGCAACACTCCAATGGTGTATCTGCGGAAAATTGGAAGAGGATTGCCAGGAACTCTAGGTATCTCGTAATGAATGTATTATTTGATAATATTAATAAGTTTCAGCTGCAAAAGTCGAGTATTTGAATCCAGCATGCTCTGTGAAGGATAGGATTGGAGTAGCAATGGTCAAGTCTGCAGAAGAAGCAGGGCAGGTTAGTGTTTAAAAGGTGTTTCCCGGAATTTTGGCTCAGATGCAGAACATTTCGCCATAAAGAAAGATGGGTTTACCCCCAGAATAAACCCCAGCAGAGCTCCATTCCATCTTTTTATCTTGCTCAGCACAAAGGTCTTGATCCTCCTCTGAAAGATTGACTTCACATTATAGGTTGAAAATTTTCTCGGTTTTATTATTTATTACGTTCTAGCGTTGTTTTGGTGTTTGATCTTTTGGAACTCTTGTTCAATCTTTTGCTTGTAGTTTGGTAATCTCACGTGTATTTATTCTAGACTTTCATTCTAGACGTAATGATTAACAGGAGTTGTTTGCTTTGGCTCTTAGACTATAAACTTTCAATGAAGTCTGAGGTTTGAATTAGTGGACGTACAGTATTTGGCCAACGTCCATCGGCCGAAAAATAAGATGCTCCAAACAAACAGAGCCTAAACCTTCTTAAAATGCTTTGTTTTAGCGATATTTTCTAGATGTACTAGCAAAATGAAAATACCATAAAATTCTTTCTAATTTCAGTATCCTCTCTTCTCTATAGAAACTTCAAAATTGACAATCATGAGGATCTTAGGTAATTGGGGTTGTTTTGCAAGGAGAATTCAGGAATGATGATTATTTTGCGAAGTAGTCTTTTCTTGCACAGTTGCTCCTGTACTGCGGGGAAGCCAAGTTCACAAGTTTGTCCGAAAGAAATGTCTTGTACTACTGTTGATTTTTCGTCGCTTCAACTAACTTCAGTGCTTTCGCGTTTTACTGATAGAACTTACAAGGGAAGCTTGTTTGGTCGAAGTGGCCTTTTTAAATGAGATGTATACTATATTAAAGGGCAAAAAACGCTGACTCCAAATCTGCCTTTCTTATCTGCAGAGCATTTACGCACGAGAAGTTATGAGCGTTTTTTGAAGCCAAAAATTGATCGTGCATTTTGGATAAAATGAGTTGCTAAGATTTTACTAGCTCTCAAATAATGCAATCAAGTGTGGTATATTTCTTATTTGGGAGTGTTTTTCAAGTAAAGTGCTTTGACGATTATCACTGCTCCACTAAAGAGCTATAAAAAGTACTATGGCTATTTTTATCTTACTTGCATATTCAATTTTTGGCCAAAATAAGCACTCATAACTCCTCGTCAATATAAGCTCTGCAAATAAGGAAGGCAGATCTGGAATCAGCAATTTATGCCCTTCAATATGGTTTAAGTCACATGTAGAAAGGCCACTTCGACTGAACATGCATTCCTTGTTAGTGTTTACTTTGCCTAAGCCGTATGACTTGTTTTGATTCAAAATAAAGAGTTGATCTAGCAGGTTATGCATGTTTTCGCTTTTCTTTTTCTTTTGTGTTTCTTCGGAGTTCTGTTACCTTTACATGATGTAGTAGCAGTGGAAACACCCGGACCATTTTTTTAGTTCGCTATTGCGAACATGATCACAAAAGCTGGAATTCACATCTACTTGTATCAGTATTATAAATGCGTTCTTCTGCATACCGTTCGTAACCTTATCAATGTGAGTACTATACAAATAAGATCGTTTTCTATTCAAAGGCTTACAAACGCTTACCAGAAATTGAGGCAAATACATTATGAGAATTTAGTCTCGCTAAAGTTCACCTAACGCAAGTATGCAGGGATGGGCTACCTTGCAAAATAATTATCATTCCTGGATCCGCCTTGAAAAATAACTCCAACTACATAGGGATCTATCTAAGAAAGCGTTTTCAACAAGGTTTAGGCTCTCTTTCATTGGAGCATCTTATTTTTCGGCCGATGGACGTTGGCCAAATACTGTACTTCGAATTAATGTGATCCCTCCGGAAACTGGCTATTTTTTACATTTGTGCAACAAATCCTCTACGTTACATGTATGCGATCCATTTTCAACTCATAAACTATAATAGCACAATGTAATGGCTTTATCCGTATGTTTTCACTGACTAGTATCGTTTATTCGTTGACCGTAACGACTGCTGACCGCGCGGCGACCGCTGCGCGTGCATGATGTTTTCGTAGAAAAGATGAATAGAAAGAAAACAGAGGATTCTTCTCATCTTTATAATGTAGAAAAGAAACAAAGAATTCTTCCCATCTTAAGCCACGGTCCAACTTGTCACTTTTTCGCAAGTTTAGAAGGCACGCGTCGCAGTCGCCACGCGGTCGACAGTCCGTACGGTCAACGAATGAACGATAGCTCCTCCAGTGTGGTCGTATTCAGTGCTGCTTAATAATCCGTGCTGGAACCAGTGTTTAATCGGCTTGGTGGTTATGGAGCACTTCTAGACAGAAGTGTTCACTTTCGTTTTTGAGTCGAGCCTGTCCATAATAATCAGCCTCGGTAGATTGATTCCCCTTATCCACTGCTTAGCGCTGATCGGGGACCGTAGGAAAAGCAGCTCAACTTTTTTTGCAGCTAGAAATTTAAGGTAGGAGCCGTCAAAGTTTTTTGTTAAACATATGTCAGCACGTAATGATTCGATAGAATTACATACGCTTCTCCAGCCTGATCGTTAGTGTCATCGTTAACTCTATATGATCGTCTCCACGATTCGTGCAGAGGTGTATTGCCGATTTTGCCTGATAACACAGGTAAACTTGTTAAAGGCAGTAGGTCGGCAGAATGAGACCTGTGGCAAAACAAGGTCACAGGGTAGGAGCCCCCATAATGAAACCTATGGGTCAGAGTTCGATCTTTCTTTGCCTCTTCTAGCCCCCGAAATCAAAGCGAAAGCAGCGCTCATCTCCTGTCCTCTCCGAACCCGCCCACCCCATGGACGAGTGAACGCGAAGCCCGTCATGGCGAAGACGCAGAGTCGTTGCGACCTCGTGCTTATAGCATTGCGACTGACGCTCTGACCGCGGAAGTCACTCAGTGGCAGAGAAAGATCGAACTTTGGCCCATAGGTTCCATTATGGGGATCCTACCCTGTGACCTTGTTTTGCCACGGGTCTCATTCTGCCGACCCACTGCCTTTAAACCTCCACGTCATAGCATTGTTTTTTGGACTCTCTCGCTACCAAAAACCGCCACGCTTTGAGTTGACCCCGCCTCTACACGAATCGTGGAGCCGATGATACTTATCTTTGTACTAGTTTTCGCTCGCGAGACGTCCATTCTTACTTCTTAGGCGGTGTCTTGTTTGGTGCAAAATGAATACAAGTCTTTCATGAAAGCTGGACGAAAAAATTGACTGCCGTCTTTCCAGTGCTTACCTCATTTGCTTGAGGTATCCAAAGCTGTTGTATGTATGCAGAAAATGATTGGAGTAAAACGAAAGCCAAGAAAGTGCGGTAGCCGGAAGTGCGTAGCGGCGTAGGGACCCGTCATACTTCTCCAAGAAAAGCCCAAAAGCGCCCAAAAATTCCCGAAAGCGCCAGAAAGAGTTGGAACGCAGAAACGAAGTTTTGGTAGAATTCTGACATTTTTATGTGCACACGACAGAAAATGAACCAAAAAGACTCGGTTGCGAGATCAACACACATGCCTTATCGCCAAAACGTGCGCGCGGAAGGGGGCGTTCCGACTCTTTGTGGCGCTTTCGGGCTTTTCTCGGCGAAATATGACGGGTCCTGTACAGTCAGTGTCAGCAGTCACGTGCTCCCTTTTCCGACCACGTAAGGCTTCGCGCGCGTGTGACTTGGGCTTTCGAAGGGGTCTTATCGATCAGAGGTCCTCACGCAAGGCCATCGCGTTACGGATGCGTATTTCCTATGCGAATGGGAGTATCGTTGATTTGTTTACCGCACGGACTGCTCAAACGCTGCGGACTACGCGCGGCGCGGCGATTGTTGCGAGAGCACGACTTGTACAGTGGCGAATTTGTACTGGGGCAAGCGGCGCGGCGCGTGCTTCGCATTGATGTCCAGTCCGTGCGGTCAACGAATCAACCATACATGATTGACACATACTGTCCACGATCACCGCCATATTCGAAATTTCATGAATGCCCTCTATGTTCGCTTTAAAAAAAATTGGTCGAAGTTTTTCTTTTAGCTACTCTTTATCTTAGTCCCTGTGTCTTTCCTCAACTGAAGTGGACTAGTGCGGTCGCCTCGCTTCGGGTTTCGGACTCATCGTTTGTCGTAGTGTGGCGCCAAAAACAATGTAGCGTATATCTTTCCATGTTGTTTTTGTATCCATGCCTCGCCAAACGATGCGTCCGCAACGTGGCGCAAGCCCGAAGGCGACCACACTAGCCACGTCAAGTCGAAGGCTGTGTCCTGGCAAAAACTGAATTCTCAGTTTTTCACCTTTTTGGAGCCTTCTCGCCATGCTGAACCGATATCTGTGCTTTTTAGCGCATGAAGATGACGAAAATGAGCCTCTTGCGAAATTCTCCATGTCCGCATTCGCTGATGCGGTAAGTAAACGGGGTCCAGAAGATTTCCGGAAGGGATTTAAGGTCTTCCAGACGCGCTTTTTTTGCTCCAGACATCATCGTAGTGTAGTTAGGGGGTCTGCTATCGCAGCGGTGTAAAATCCCAGTACATCACTTCGCCGGGATGCTGCCTGAGGGAGATAAGTGAGACAAAGGGTACTGCCGGTCCACTTCAATCTATCTCTACTTTGGTGCTTCTGTGCCAATACGTCAAAGGCAGCAAATGGGGGCGTTGCGCGGTGGTATTGATGGGAAAGATCTCAGGACACGCATAGTAGGTCTTAAAAAGCCTATCAAATGAAACTCGGTACTGTTCTACGACTTGCTTATAATAAAGCTGTTCAGATACGTCCTGGTCTTACGACGCTCATCGAACCGACATCAGGAAATACGGGCATTGCACTTGGATTGGTCGCTGCTGCTCGAGGCTATCGCCTCATCATTACCATGCCAGCGAGTATGAGCGTTGAAAGGGTATCTGTGTTCATTTTATTGGTGACGTATGGTCTTCCTAACGCTGAATGTAGAATAGACTTTTGATATCCAGTTTGTTTCGATTACAGAATGCATGTGAACTTAGTGGATGTGCGGCAATGTGCACATTGATATAAGTTTAATTGCCCGCGCTTCGCTTTGAACACTAACCGCGTTGCCGTTGCAGCTGGAGACGTACAGTCTGCCCCAATCGGGATCAGGCCGAACCGTCGGCTGAATTTGCGCGCTCGCAGCGCTAGGGTATTGCGCTGCATGCGCGCGCTGTCGCAGAGAGTGAAGAGATCGAGGAGAGAGCAGACTAACTAGCGCAGATGTGGCGCGAAAACCTCGCGACGCGGACTCCCGCCATGCCGATTTTGGCCTGGTTAGGATTGGGGCAGACTGTAGGTCGACGCGATATAGCTATTCACAAGTGAGTATTCACAATGAGCGTGCACTTTCTTCATATGTATTTTTTCTAACTACAGTCGACATTGGCTAGCACATACTGTGCAACGCTGTAAACAACATGGATGTTGACTTGAAAATTATGTGAGACCGCCGCCTATAGTGCCTCGCAACCGCTCTATGCTGGTGTTCAAGCACAGCGCGGTCAATATTTTACAAGGCCCGTACACTGTTAACGTTCACACAGGCGCTAAATTTGTATAGGTGATATCAGTACATGAACTGCAGGACATCACCAAACATCTACAGACGGAGTCTATATCTACAGTCGAAGTCTATACTACAGACGAAGTCTGTACCGGTAACGAGAAAAAATTTCAACTGCGCACATCATCGGCAATTTGTTCAAGCTGTAATTCACGACTGAGTTTACATCTTCAGACAGAAGAAAGAAATAGTTGATTTAGGCCCGTATGCACGTACATCCCCACTGGGGAGGGGAGGGGATCTGAGAGGAATGCGTCATATCTCGCTACTCTAGGTATCTTTCTTCTTCCTTCTTTATCTTACTTATGAAGGTTCTCATACACTAACTGCTGCGCATAATTGATGCCGGGTTACTGGCACAATTGATCAGATTTTCACTATTTTGTGTGATCCCCTAGGGGTCCCGGGGATCACCTCTCATTTTCAAAGACATTTATCTTCCTGAGAAGTCAATGAAAATGCTGCAAAATTGTACTGAGGATATAGTACGGCACTAGCATGTTTATAGTAGAAATAAGTGAAATCTCAGGATATCGAAATTTCCGGTAATCCCTGGTTCGCGAGCTAGGGATCATCGAAAAGATCACAATCTTCAGATTCCATTTCTCCTGTCGAAAACATGCTTAGCAGTGCCATAGTAGATCCTAAGTACATTTTTACAGCGTTTTTATTGACTTCTCACGAAGATAAATCACTTTGAAAATGAGAGTTGATCCCCTGGGGATCACACAAAATGGCAAAAAACCAATCTTGTATGGAAGTAACCTGGCATCCATTATGCGCAGGATAAGTGTATTAAAGTCTTCATAAGCAAGATGAAAGAAGAAGAAAGATACGTAGAGTAGCGAGCTATGACGCATCCCCTCTCAGATCCCCTCCCCTCCCCAACGAGGATATACGTGCATATGGGACTTAGAAAGTTGGATGATCGTCACCGCATCAATTTAACCGTTCTAAATTCGCCGACAAAATCCTTGAATGTTTCAGCGCACACTTCTGAAAGCGTATGGTGCTGAATTAGTTCTTACGGACCCGGCTTTGGGAATGAAAGGTGCCATCGAACGAGCCAATCAGCTGCATGAAAATATTCCAAACAGTTACATTCTTGCTCAGGTTTGTCCGTCAATCATATACTATTCTAAAAGTTTCTGAAAGGGAGTTGTCTCAGTTTGATAATCCATCTAATCCACTAATCCATTATAATACCACTGGGCCAGAAATCTGGAAGCAAACCAATGGCAAGGTGATTTTTTTTCTTGCACATTTGTGTACGAAATGGACGTACGGTATATGCCCAACTTCCATCGGCTGCGAGATAACGTGCTACAAACAAACAGAGCCCTAATCTTGTTTAAAGACCTTATTTTCGACGTATTTTCTTCAGACACACTATCAAGAGTGAAATCTCAAATTTTTCCACGGTGCAGCATCTCTCTTCCGTCTAGAAACTTCAAAATTGCTGTTTTTTTAGTTGACTCTTATGTCACTGGGGCTATTTTTATGCGGAATTGAGATGAACTAATTGCGATTTCTTTTCTTGCATAGTTACGTAAGGTAGTCACATAGACGTATCTTTTTGTTAATTCCCTCTTTTCTACTATCTTCTTCTTCTCACTCAGATAAAGCATGATCAAAGCCGAAGTCGCGGATTTGCCCAAAAAATTTAGCCGGTGTTGATGTGTGTTAATTCCAAAACAAACGGTTCGTTCACTACTCTTGATTTTTGTCGTTCCCAATATCTTCAGTAGAGTGTGTTTCGCCACCGGTTGTGGTATTCCGAGGAGAAGCGTTTCTGCCCCAAAAATGTATTATTTGTTTCGATTTGAGATGAATTTGATCCAACAGCTGACGCATGCCTTACAGTTCAGTAAGCATGTACTTCTTTACCTTTTTATTCTCCCCAAAGATTTTCTGTGCGGTGCGCAATGTCATTCTTGGAATGATGGAAACATTTTTCGCAGTAGGTTTCCTAAGAACATGATCACACAAGGCATTATCCAAGACGTATCCAAGTAAATCACAAAGTCAACTTCCCTGCTGCACTAATCTTGAATCTAGACTGTGCACCTAGCGCAAATGTGTAGAAATGAGCTAGATACCAAAGTCGATATCATTATAATGATAAAACATGGAATCGCCAGGAAAAATAACCTTAATCCATATGACTTTAGCGTTTTTGAAGTTTATAGGGAAAAGTAACACTGTAACTAGTAAGAAGTTTTATAGTTTCTTTATGGTAGTGTGTCTGAAGAAAACACCGCTGAAAATAAGGTCTTCTAACAAGATTTAGGGCTCTGTTTGTTTGGAGCACGTTATCTCGCAGCCGATGGAAGTTGGGCATATACCGTACGTCTACGAAATGATGCTCGGAAGTTCCAGGTAGACGTGTGCGTTTTCGGAATCGGAACAGGTGGCACTATCACTGGAGTGGGACAGTATTTGAAAGAAAGAAAACCAGAGGTCAAGGTGCGTACGTCTTTGTCTTGCATTCATCGCTTTCTGTGAATTCTAATTTTCTGAAATTTGTTCTGAAGATGTTTGCCGTTGAACCTGTCGAAAGCGCTGTGCTCAGCGGAAAAAAACCTGGTCCTCATCGCATTCAAGGTAAGACTTTAGTCATTCATCTTTCTTTTGGTTTGCTTCAAAAGGTCGTTTCATTTCATTCACATTCAATGGCGTTTTGATTCTTTGAGCCTTTACTTTCACGTTTGCTGCACATTCTGGCATGTTTTGCAATACTCATAAAGAGTCCAAAAAATGCTAGAAATTCTCGTGTGCACTACACACTTTTTCAAACAAAGACTCATTTGTCTGGAGCAGTCTCCTTCACAATGTTACCTCCCCCTCTTCAATCTTTTTCTTTGCCAAAAATCCTGGACTAGGGCTCACCTAAGTTCGCGCTTGAAAGTAATTTCGAATGCTGGAAATCACTGAGTCACTTGTGCGCTAGCGAAAAGTTGTACAACGGCGCAGAAAATGCTGAGTTTACTATGGGGTTCTATAGGCATTGGTGCTGGATTTGCTCCTTCTGTCTTGAACTCGACAATCTATGATGACGTTATCACAGTGCACTCTGACGAAGCCATGGTTATGGCTAAAAGGCTCGCACTTGAAGAGGGTCTGCTTTGTGGTAAGTCATATGTAGACCAAAACTTTTTTCTCAGTTCTCAGATGTTCTGATCTATTTTTTCGGAGAAAATGTTTTCTCAGCGTAGGTGTTATCATTTTCGTTTGGGAAACTCGTACTCGCTGGTGAGGTACACGACTGAGAACTAGCTTTTTACAAACTTTCGCATCATTCAACATACAATATCGCAAGCTTGTTTTCACCATTCTGACTGGAGTGATGTTGCGAATATGCGATTTGCGAGCGTTAATGAGCTTGGACACATTGAAGGTATTTCATCTGGTGCCAATGTGCATGCGGCCTGCAAAGTAGCTGCTCGTCCAGAAATGGCTGGAAAGCTTATAGTGACTGTATTGCCAAGCTTCGGAGAGCGCTATCTGTAAGTTCTTGATGGTGTGCGAGTTTTTTAGTGCTTATTGCATGGGATTACAGCTCTTCTCCACTATATGCTAATATTCGTGATGAAGCAAATGGTATGGGCGTTACTTCTCTTGAGGCAGACTTGAGTCGAGTTCGTCTACATCAGTTTCCAGTAGAAGAGCAGTGATTTGTCAAAAGTTTAAAGCTCATTGATACTTCTCTCGATAGTTATGTGCAGCGTAATGTTTTTTACCCTTGTTACCTTTAATCTGTATTTGACCTCCTGCAGTGGGCGGCTTACATTCACGTGCTGACTTGCCCACAAGATAGCGCAACCTCAAACGTTTTGTATCATCTTTACACTTCAGCTACAGTCGAGTATATTTCCTGCTTAATATAGTGTCCCGGAACGCTTTTGCGTCAACAATTGCCATTACGAGTTTCCGAGCGAGTGTTTTCTAATGTTTCCTCTATTTATTCTCTGCTTTAGGTAAGTCGTTGCTGATAAAGTAGAAGAAGGTCTGAGAGAGTGATTTATATTTTCTGAGCGGCCATATCATCGCTTATTCACACAGGTATCTACGTGGAAGGTCAGTCGGTTGGTCATGTGTAATTTAGGCCCGTATGCACGTACATCCCCGTTGGGGAGGGGAGGGGATCTGAGAGGGGATGAGTCATATCTCGCTACTATACGTATCTTTCTTCTTCTTTCTCTATACTGCTTACAAAGTTTTTCATACACTTATACCTGCGCGTAATGGATGCCAGGTTACTTCCACTTTGAAAATGAGAGGTGATCCCCTGGGGATCACTTCTCATTTTCAAAGTGATTTATATTCCTGAGAAGTCGATGAAAACGCTGTAAAATTGTGCTGAAAATATACTACGGCACTGCTAAGCGTGTTTTCGACAGGAGAAGTGGAATCTGAAGATTGTGATTTTTCGATGATCCCTAGCTCGCGGAGCTAGGGATTACCGAAGATTTCGATGTCCTATGACTTCATTTTATTTCAACTATAAACATCTTTAGCAGTGCCGTAGTATGTCCACAGTACTATTTGACAGCGTTTTATTGAGTTTTCAAGAAGATAAATGACATTGGAAATAAGAGGTGATCCCCTGTGGATCTCCAGGAGAGATCACGGAAAATAATGAAAATCTAATCAATTATGCCAGTGACCTGGCGTCAATTATGCGCAGGTATTAGGGTATAAGAACCTTCATAAGCAAGATAGAGAAGGAAGAAGAAAGATTGCTAGAGTAACGAGATATGGCACATCCCCTCTCAGATCCCCTCCCTCCTCAGCGAGGATGTACGTGCATACGGGCCTTAGTCATTTCCCCTTCTTTCGTTACTTCTTGCCTCTTTATTTTTGTGTAGCATTCCCTTGGACGCTAGCAGGCTTCCGCTGCAGCAACTTCGGCTCTCACTCAAAAAGAGATAGCAGGCAATGAGCAGTTTGTGAGATAAGGACAATATGAGCATTTGATGAGCAGTTCATGGGGTAAAGACAACACATCAAACGCAAAAGCCCCCACGTTCAAAGAAATGCTAGAAAAATTAGAAACACTCGCGGAAACTCGCAGTGGCAACTGTTGATGCAGAAGCGTTGTCGCGTCTGCAAGAACGCTACATTAAGCAGGAAATTTTCTCAACTGTATGTTGTTATCTATCTGATTTTGTTTCTAGGATTATCTGTGATTGTTACTAATGTAAAAAAGAAGTTACTTGCTCGAATGATATATATTCACAATCTGTGATAGGACAGTAGCTTACAGTTTTTGCACATTCTTCATCGTTTTTTTCTGAAGTGAAGCTGCTGTTTTCTTATATAACGGATGACTGTACGAACCTGCCTTCGATAGCAGAGCCAATTTGTCTTCCTACATCCTGTCTCGTCTTCGCCTTCATAATTTTTGGGTCACTATACGATAATGTTTAATTTCTTATAAAGTTTTGTACATGATTCTCTGTCATGTGAGTTATGAGCGTGATATGCACTACGGTATTCAAGAAAAGAAGTTTTCGGTGCTTACACTCTTTTGTAGATTGAGGTTGCACGCTCTAGGTACTGGATTCCAGAGTGAGGTAGGCGTGACGTTATGAAAAGCAGGTGTCAATCTTTGGACATTCAAAAAGAAACCCTAAAAACCTAACAAATTTGAAGATTGCTGGGACTTGTACTTAATCTAAGGATGGGTGAATATTTCACCGTCCTATGAATAAGAAGAAGCTACATGACCAGTCGTTTATAGGCTGTGCAAACTTATTGTCTCCACAGCCCTTGCACACTAACACGTTTTCAAACGCGAAATCGCGCGCGACGAAAAAGTGTGTACTTTCAGCCATTAGCCAACATAGGGACCTTATTTCGCAGACTATGTGCTACATCTGTAATCAGCTTGTCAGATAAGTTCCATATCCAAAATTCTGAGTAAATTTGAAGTGTTTGAATTTTGTCGCTTGAGAGGGACTTCTGTGCTTTCTTGAAAGATAGGAACAAGTACTCAGCTTCTAATAGTATCCAAAAGTATCTATGTTGTAAAGGGTACTCAACGAATTCAAACTAAGGTTATTCTCTCCGAAATCGAAGCAAAGAAAAGTTGCGACGTCGCACGCGTCGTTCGCGTTGCCGCACTTCGTTGCAACTGCTGTTCAATCTGTTCTCATATTTCAAGCAACTATCGACAGCACAGCTCTACAGTGTCATTTGGAAAGTAGGAGCTTGGGTCTTTGACTCGATAACCTTGGACTAAAAGAAAACCTTGTTAACGTCAAAAAGATCCTTTAAAGCAGCGTGCTGCATCATGTGCAGCACCGGTCCGAAACGTGTTGAAGGCAGTGGCTCGGCAAATCTCAACCTAGTCAATTTTGCGCTTACCTGGGGTTTTCCAATACGCTGATCCCGAAAATCCACTTTTGAAAGCTTGAAAACGGCGAAAATAAGCGTTTTTTAATGCCCCTCCCTTTGATATTGGACGAGTGGAGCAAGGCCGATGACGCTAAATCGTGGCAGGACCCAATGGTTATAGCGTTGCGGCGGGCAGCCTCCAATGGTGAGAAAGAAATTGCCAACTCGTCCAGATGCGTGTAAGATTGGCCTGCGCGTGTAAGTTCGAGAGCGATTTTCTCGGCAGGAAAAGCATGCTGTGCAACCGGGATTGCACTGTTTTCATAGTTGGGCGATAAGAAATCTACCGCGTTGAAGTTCCGAGTTGTTGGATTCTGCCGATCCACTGCCTCTAAAGGCAGTGTCCGCGCAAGTTGGGGGTTTTGGGATCTCAGCGCCATGCGGAAGTGGCTCTCCTCAGACACAACATCGCGCAACTGCGAGGTCATAACGCTCTACCCAATACAAGAAAAACGATCAGAAAGTGGGGAAACTTACGCTTTGCTGGACGACCGGTAACCACAAGGCGTCCATTTGGCTGGATTCGCCATGGAGCGCCGCTGTCGAGCGGAGCGCGTTATTGGCACGGAACTTTATTTTTTGGATCACTTGCATTGTATTTTTTGGATCACTTGCATAAGGGATAGCATCTGATGATAAGAATGATCCCAAGAGATTTTGTTTCCCTTTCTGACCCAGGTGCTTCTTTTTGCATGCTCACTTATCAAAATCTGCTCCGGTTTATGCACGTATCTAATCATTGGCTCCCAGATTCGTGTAGAGGTGGAGTCTTGCCAACCCAACGTAGGCGGTTTGACAGAGAGAGAGAGAGAGTACGAAAAGCAAGTCATAACGTGGAGGTTCAACAAGTTCAGCTTTATCCTCCCAGCCACCTTAAGGTTAGATGCAGATTTTGACAACATGTACGGGAACTGATATAATCATGATGAATAAGTGTACGTATTTGTTTATGAGACTTATAACGTAACAACAATGGTCGAAACTGAGCCAAAACCCGTGCTTGTTCATTCGTTCTCTACTTTGTCTGGTCAGTACCTGTTTACACAAGGACTAGATTGTTGGAAACCTTAACCCTTTGATGTAAGCCTGATAAATGGAGATGATTTACAAGCTTTCCGCTACTTCACTTTTTGATCATGCTCAGATAACCGCCGGGGGCAGGCGGCCATGCGAATTTTGAGCAAGCGCGCACCGGAAAAATAGTTCGTTGATTTTTTGCGGCCCGCTTGCAGAAATTTGGAAGAAAGTTGGCGAAATTAAAGACGAATGCTTGAAGAACAGTCGCGGTTTCTTTATGGATTAGCTGCGGCGCAGTGGCCGCATTCTCGCGGACTTTCCGCGAGAATATGCAAAAATTTCGGGGGCCGCACGATACTTTGTGGAGGACCGCGCAACCCCCAGGTACTTTCCGCTTGGAGAAAGTACCTCAAACTTGAGTAATTAAACCAACGGTGACACCTCTGCCACATAGAGTCTCATCTTTTCTCGGCGTACGCCCGAAATTGCGTAAAAAGGGTCCGAGCGCCTGCTGAAAGTTCGGCCAGCTTTTGGTGAAAGAGATTATTTGCCGAGCGCTTGCAAAAAATGCTATATTGCTGCCCGCTGGCAGAATATGCGACCGTAAAGGAAGTGCCGCCCGCTGAAGGTTTGGCCACGCCCCAAAATTCTGCTGACCGCCTGCAGAAAAGAGCGAGTTTGCGGACCGCCTGCCCCCGGCGATTATCCGAGTGATTGTTCTAGATTTGCGTTTTCTCCATGATCAATCTGCAAAATTCTTACGTGTGTAGGGGAAATCTTTTTTATTGCGGGGCTGTTAGAATGATCATAAAACACTGCCACCTATGCTGGAAAGGCCCTTATTTGCTAAAGAAAGGGCCTTTCCAGCACTTGTACGCTCACTTACGAGAAATGCATCATTCTTCAGAACTTGTCGTAACAGAAGTAAAAAAAGCCATAGCACAAACGAAACTTGCGGGAAAAAGAATGCACAAATGTGACATTTCTGGATCATTCTTTTCTTTATTGCAACACCTCAAAAGACATCAAAAGGTGCAGCGTTGCTTTCCTCATTCTAGGTGTGTACATTTCGAGTTCAATTTCAGGTAAACACACTGAAGGAGAAACAATCGCAACATTGACCGAACAATTCACCTTAACATGTCCATAACTCCGCCCTTTCCTTCAATATGTTACAGAAAAAATTCAATGTTCCATACTCCTACAAATGACCCTGCACTGTCTCACTCCCGTATGCTGATTTTCTGTTTTTCGTAATCAGCACACATACTTACCTGTACCAACTCCCATCCTGTAGCTCAAAGTTCGCAGAAAACCAATTAATTCGATAAAGGTATTCGAGAATTCTAGATATTAACATTGCATTCGTAATCAGCATGCTCGCTTACCCCCTATACCAACTTCCGACGCCGTACCTTGAAGTTTGTAAAAAAATCCATAAAGTCGATATCGATCGATTACGGCGAGTAGGCTAAGGCCTAAGGCATACCTCCCGCGATTTCACGAAATCGCTACATCCTCGCGACTTGGCGATTTGCCAGATGTCTGCAGATTAAGCATGCGTGGTTCTTAGATGCATAGGCGCGAGGATTCCATAAGTCTTAACAAACGCAGCAAGTTTGGTCCAAGAAAAACGCGTTTACGAGCAGCCACGAAAAGTCGTTGCAGTGTCAGATCGCGCCTCAGATAATCGCGGGGGCAGGCGGTCATGCGAATTTTGAGCAAGCGGTCACCGAAAATAGTTCGCTGATTTCTTGCGGCCCGCTTGCAGAAATTTGGAGGAATTTTGACCAATTTTCAGACGAATGCTCGGAGAATTATCGCGGTTTTCCTATAGATCAGTTGCGGCGCATTGGCCGCATTCTCGCGGACTTTCCGCGAGAATATGCAAAATTATTGAGGCCCGCGCGGTCCTTTGTGGAGGACCGCACAGCCCTCAGATACTTTCCGCTAAGAGAAAGTACCTCAGACTTGAGTTATTAAACCATCGATGACACCTCTGCAGCATAGTCTCACATTTGCTCGACGTACGCCCGAAACTGCAAAAAAGAGTTCGAGCGCTTGCTGAAAGTTTGGCCAGCGCTCGCTGAAAGAGATTATTTGACGAGCGCCCGCAGAAAACTCTGATTTCTGCCCCGCCACTCAGATAATCGCCGGGGGCAGGCGGCCATGCGATTTTTGGGCAAGCGGGCACCGGAAAGATAGTTCGCTGATTTCTTGCGCTCCGCCTGCAGAAATTTGGAAGAATATTGTTCAATTTTTTGACAAATGCTCGGAGAAGTGTCGCGGTTTTCTTATGGATTATTTGCGGCGCATTGGCCGCATTCTCGCGGACTTTTCGCGAGAATATGCAAAATTAATGAGGGCCGCGCGGTCCTTTGTGGAGGACCGCACAGCCCTCAGGTACTTTCCGCTGAGAGAAAGTACCCCAAACTTGGGTAATAAAACCATCGAAAACACCTCTGCCAGGTAGAGTCTTACCTTAGCTCGGCGTACGCACGAAAGTGCATGAAAGGAGTCCGAGCGCTTGCTGAAAGTTTAGTCAGCGCTCGCTGAAAGAAATTATTTGACGAGCGCTTGCAAAAAATTCTGTATTGCTGCCCGCTAGCAGAATAGGGAAGTACCGCTCGCTGAAGGTTTGGCCGCGCTCCAAAATTTTGCTGACCGCTTGCAGAAAAGCGCGAGTTTGCGGACCGCCTGCCCCCGGCGATTATCTGAGTAGCAGGACATTCGACAGTAAAGGAGGTACCGCCCGCTGAAGGTTTGGCCACGCCCCAAAATTCTGCTGACCGCCTGCCCCCGGCGATTATCTGAGCGCAGTGACTGAAATCGCGTGAGTATGCCTTAGGCCTAACACATCCGCACCGCCCGAACTGTATGTTAGCAAAGTTTAACCCGGATCTTAAATCTCGAAGAAAGCAAATTGAAGTAAGGTAAAAAATTGCGCTCTAATCACTATCCGCGCTCCATGGCGAATCCAGCCAAATGGACGCCTTCTGGTT